AAAGAAGTGAAAACTAGTTTGATATTTAGGTCCGATTTACAAAAGCGCTTAGTGAGTTGTCGGAGTTTAAGGTTCGCTATTTTAGAATAATAGCCGACAAAAGGGAGTTTAAAGTAACGTGTATTATTGTCATCAATGTTCCGGCTATTTTGAGAGGAGGACCCGTCAAGATACCGCTTGAAAGTTCTTTCAATAATATGCGAAGGAAAAGAATTACGTTTTAAAGTGTCGGAAAGTTTCTTAAGATCGTTTTGAAGGCCGGAAGAGGTGTTGTTGATTTTGTAGATACGGTCAATAAGAGTTCGGATAAGGCCAATTTTGTAGCATGATTGAATAAAACTAAAGAAATTTGTTAGGAAACCAGTGTAGGTTTTTTCATGAAAAACTGAAAAAACACAATCATTCGAAGAGTTGTCGATATTTATATCAAGAAAGGAGAGTTTACCATCATCCTCTTTTTTGAAAGTGAATTTTATGTTGGGGTGCCGTGAATTAATGTAATCAAAAAATGACATAGCATCCTGTTCATTGTGGAAGACAGAAGACACACCACGACCTTATGGAAATATCATACACGACTTAGCAAGCAAATACCAAGGATGGGTTTCCCTACAAGACCTTCTCCAACTGGAAAAACTCTGTATCAAGAAACACAAAGCTGAATTGGATTTGTCCTTTCTTCGTTCATGTAAGTCCTTTAATGTTTTCCCGAAATTTATCTGTTTCCCTTTACCTAACACCCGACCGACCATCATGATGTCGTCGATATCCGTAAACGCCCACTTCGCACTGCCATCTCCAAACGTCAAAAAGAACTCAACAAACTAACCCGTGATTGTGACGAGTCAACTGAACGCATAAAAAACTCTCTGAATTCTGTTGATTAGTACCTTCTACAAAAATTTTTAAAGAAAAATGTCGACAAGAACATCTCCAAAGTTCAATTTCAATTCAACTTATCGAAAGAAACTTAAAAACCTAACTAAGGATGGCATAAGCATGCCGAAACATGTCTCTCAAAAAAGTTGTCTATTTCTTACAATATTTATCTAACTAACTCTATTGATAATGATACCTATACTAGGATTTTCCCAAGGGTTCACAACCAGAAAAATTTTTATGGCCTTCCCAAATTACATAAGAAACGTGAAAATCACATTCAACCACCTCTTAGACCTATTGTATCTTCTATTGGAGCTTATAATTATAATTTAGCCAAGTATTTAAGTTCTCTTCTTACTCCACTTTTACCTAGCAAGTATTCGGTCACAGATTCATTTTATTTTGTTGAAGAGCTCAGGAGTTCCGATCTTAACAACAAGTTTCTCATTTCCTTTGATGTTGAAAGTCTTCTTGCTATATCAGCGAAACTGTTCGTCATTTTTCCACACGCGTCCGTGAACATCTCTCATCAGACAAGTGCTCACATATCTTCAAACATTTACAAAACTCAGAAAGTTGTCGTCAACCTTGCTCTGCGGATTGTTTTGAAATCCTTGATTCCGCCCCTACTAAATTTCAACTTAAACTTAAGGAGGCTATGCACATAAACTGGGAAAAGGCTAATTTAAACCAACAAGTTCATCACGTCAACATGACGCTTACGCTTTAGGCTTTATATTCTTTCCAACACTTTGTTACTCACTCAAATATGTAATTTTTGTCACTTAATCATAATTAATTATGCATGTTTCGCCTATTTGTTATACAGTCCCAACGGTTTTTCAAATATTCTGTAACTGAAGATGATGTTCGCAACATCGAAACATGTCTTCGAAATTAAAAAATGTCGTACTCTCCTAGAAGATAACGTTTTCCAGAACTCAAATTCAAACGGAAGCACTGTAATATTTGCTGAGATGATTGCGGATGGTTATATTTGTAAAAAAACTCGTCTTTATAAATATGGCTAATAATTCGCCTCGTCGATTGGCATTACGTGCTAATTTCCAGAAGAAAGGAAGAAATAAATGTTTTTCCATAAACAAAAATTCACATTTGCATTGAAAAGGTTTCCAGTAAGACGTGACGTGAATACTGGACGGAGCTTTTCATTCATTGAGTGATTGAGTCAGTTTGCTAGACATAACGTCTCGTAGTCACGTTCGACGCAC